TTTAACTTCAAGTTTTTATTAATATTCCAGTTGAGTGAAAAATATGTGATAATATTGTTGACGATGTCGATTTATACAAGCAAATATTTTACCTTTTATGCTACGACAATCGGTGGAAGAAAAATAACAGCACAAATCGACAAAGAGACGCCACTGATAAAAGAAAGCACGAAATGACGCTCGCCTTTCAAGTTAATAAACAAAAGAAATAAATAGAGGAAACAAGTCAAAATACCTAATAAACATATGTAAATAGAAAAAAAAAAATTTTTTCATACAATTATTTGATGGTGATAAATGGAAACCATACAAATAAAGTAGAGGTTATAAATGCCTTGGTATTACTTGAAATGAATTTGTTTTAAGAACCAATTGAAAAATGCAGCATTATTATTGGTAATTATAGGGATGCAACAAATCCAAAGCCTTGGGGTTTGTTATAAAAGATTTGGATTTGAGCTCAGATTTGGATTTGGTTTGGATTTGGATTTGGATTTGGCATCTATACTTGGATTTGGATTTGAATTTGGATACAGATATTTGGATTTGGTTTGGATTTGGATACAGCTATTTGGATTTGGTTTGGATTTGGATACAGATATTTGGATTTGGTTTGGATTTGGTGTTGTGGAGCACATAAACAATATTTTCTGTTTTGCCCCATGGAATTTTAATGTTTATGAATAACTGTAGATATCAAAGCGAGCATTAGATTTGTGTGGACTACAAAATTATTTGAATGAAATGTCTATTCAGAGAAAGTACGAAGCTAGTCTGAAAATGCAATTTTTATAAAGGAAATATGGCTGAAATTATTTGCACAGAGTTGTATGATATAGGAGATTAGCAAAGACAAAAATGCCTGTTTTTCAGTAGGAACTTGAATACTCCTTAGAATTATGAAAGCTCTACCACGTAGAGTACGATTTATTATAGTCCATCCCTTATTATTATTATACAATTGATATCAATACATGTGAATTTCAAGGAATTTTTAGATATCTACAGACGTCAATCACTATAAACGGGTTATTATATTGTAGCTTTATTGCAAGAAATCAGTTACTCAAATAATGATAAGTATGTCTGTTGTAACTAGTGTCCCAGAAATAATGAGCTTCTCAATATTTTGCCAATATCTCAGCCAGCTGTCATCGGTTGGACATAATTTTTTTTGTCAAAAAGTTCCTCATTGAATCCTCTACAAAACTATATAAAATATTTTAATGTAGAAACAACCCACGAAATGTTTTCGACTCAAGATTTTAAGGCACTAAAAGGATAGATTTTGCAATAAGGTTTTTTGTAAGAATTAGTTAATTTTATTCTCTAATTTGACAGACACTTTGACCCACTGGTTTCAGTTTATCAATATTTCCAAGTATCCTCTCTCTCGTTACGTTTACAAGCAGGTTGTTTAAAGCTGAATTCTGATGGATATATGAGAATATCTGTTTCAGAATGACGTGGAAGCACTCAAATTTGGGCTTTCGGCTTACGCTTTCATTCAAAGTATAAAATGCATATGAGACAGCTGCAGAGATCGATAGAAAGGTTATTTATCTCCAAAATAATAACACTACGTGTTCATAAAAAATTACTTTGGGACACATCTTCACGAGTTTCATGAAGTGACGTAAAAGTTCTGCCGACAACATTGACATGTCTATAAAAGAAAAAAAATGTCTGTAAATGAGCCAAAGCGTCGACAAAATTTTGAAATAGCACCTAAAAAAGAGATTTTCAAGAGCTTCAAAATGGCCTATTAGATTTGATTATATAGCGTATGTCGAACATCTGAGACACAGAAAACCGACAAAAAAATCGTGCAAAATCCATCCCTTTAGTGTCTTAAAATCTTGCGTCCAAAATATTTCGTGGGTAGTTTCTACCAGAGATGTCCATCGCGGCAGCGGCGCGGTAGCGGCAGGTTTTTTAAAAAACCATCGCGGCAGCGGCAGGGTTTTTTGGAGAACATTGAAAAACTGTATGAATTTAATAGAATTTCAGGATTTACAAATGAAACGCCCTGATATTGAATAAATCTGATGGACTAGTACCTATATCTCTGGTCAAATATAGTCACAGCAGTGAAATTAGAAACACTTTTTTGAAAACTGTCGCGGCAGCGGCACGTTTATTTTATAATTCATCGCGGCAGCGTTTCTTTTATAAGTCATCGCGGTGCGGCAGCGTCGCGGCAACATTTTTTTATAAACCGTCGCGGCGCGGCAGCGGTGCGGCAGCTTTTTTTTTCTAAGGCCACGGCGCGGCAGCGGCAGATTTTCAGCCGCGATGGACATCTCTGGTTTCTACTAGGGGTGAGACGTTACTGTTACCGTTACCAGTTACTTGTTCCTAGTAACTTCTCTAAAAAGATGAATTATTACTTCCCATCAACAGAATTTTGTATTTACGTTATTTTTTAAGTTGACCCGTTCCCAGGTTGTAACGAAAAATAATATAATAACTGGCGGAATTATGATGTTATTGCTGCAGCATTTCTTTTATTCTTCTAATAAAATTGTGATCACAACGGACAAACTGGAAGAATACTGCTACCGATATATATTCAGTATATCATCGATGTTATCTTCACTATTCTATCCTTGAGTCTGTCCCTGGAGACATTTCCAAGAATGTTTCACAAAGGAAATGCTCTCTGTTCTTACTTTCTTCATCTCCTTATATATTGATCAATTAGATCGCACGATTATACGGGAGAAAGAAAGAAGACAGAAAAGATATACATAAAGAGAGAGAACAATGAAAGTTACACCAAAAGAAATAGAACAGATTTTGTTGAACAGAAAAAGGACAAGAATTAGTCAATCACACTAATTACATCATATTAGCGCGATGTAAACTAGGGATGGCATCCACATGGATAAAAATCATCTCTGATTAACATAGAAACACACACATACAAGTACATACATGCATATGTATACCTATTAGTGCCTATTGGCACAAAGGTAACTGGTAATGGGTAACAGTTACCAGGGTAACTGGTAACTCCAAATTTTTTTTGCTGGTGTATTGTCAATATTCGGTCCAATAGAAGTGATATTTAGTCTTTTCAAAAAGTTACGAGGAAAAAGTAACTGGTAACTCCTTCAATAGTAACCGTTACCGTTACCGTTCTCGGGTAACGGTCTGGGAACGGTAACTTCCCACCCCTAGTTTCTGCATTAAAACATTCCACACAGCTTCGTGGAGGATTCAGCGATGAATTTTTTGGCAAAAAAATTAAGTCCACTCGATAAAAGCTGACTGAGATATTGACAAAATACTGAGAGACTCTTTATTTCTTGGACACCAGTTATATTCTAAATGATTTGTGAGATTTGTACAAATAGAAATTCAAATTCAACCCTTAGACTAGTAGCGAAACCAGAGAAAAAGCTTAGAAGAGCTTAAACCCTTTTAAAACTCTCTTAGGGCAGCTCACATATACATCTACAGCAGTCTCAAAATTTTCTAGGAGACGCTCAAATGTTTGTAGATGGAGCTCATCTCCCTCGAGGCCACACCCTTCTGCCACTAGCATAGGCCCAAATCTAAGACACAAACCCAAACCTCAGACCAAATCCAGGATACAAATCCAAATCTTAGACCAAATCCAAGATACAAATCCAAATCTTAGATCAAATCCAGGATACAAACCCAAATCTAAATACAAATCTAAAATACAAATACAAACCCAAACCCAAATCTAAAATACAAATACAAACCCAAACCCAAATCCAAAGGATTTGGTCCCAAATCCAAATCTTTTTAAGGATTTGTTGCATCCCTAGGTAATTATGTGCAAATTCAACCATAAAAAGCACTAGTATATATATATAGATATCTACTCTCCTCTTTTTCTCCTATTACGACCCATTTTCTTTTCTTCTCTCTATGGCAATAACATCAAAGTCATTATTAACCATACCAGTGATAGAATCTCTCACAACGAAAAGTAATAGAACGACGACTGCCACAAAGCAAGCAACCGCATGCTTTTTTTCGTTTCTCTCTATACAGTGCAAGGTCATAGCTGTTTACACCTATATTACGCAAATTTAATTCTCATTTTTAAGCGACAAAAGCAAATGATACAAATAAGAAAAAAAAAGAGAGATCAGAGAGAAGCAACTTTGACGATGACGGTAGTGAGACAAATTGTCGATTATTGAAAATAATAACATGACACAATAAGTTTTGTCGCTGTTCTTTTCTTTCTTTTCTCTCTCTTTCACTTTCTCGGCCATGCCAAACACATCATCATTGACGATCTCTAGTTATTGGTAAAAAAAAAAAAAAAGATATAGAATGAAGGGCAAGAAAAAAAAAAAGAAAAACAATGACCTTGCTGTCAATCCTTCATTTATTCTAGAAGATATTGCTCAACGGTTTCTTACATTATATCGCTTCTCATATGATATTGAAGTTTTGTTTCTTTTTTGTTGAAATTGTTTTTAATTTTTAAACCGCTAAAGTTTTCAAACAAAGGAAAAAAGTATTACATCATAATATCACGTTTATTCAATTAAATCATTTAATCAACCGAATGTATACACTTTATTACTTCATTTCATGGATAAAAGGAAGAACAGATATTGTTCGGATAACAATTTTTATTAATTCTACGTGAACAACAATATACTAAATAACTGATAAAATAAAGAGACAAAGATTTAACGAAAAAAAAATTTCAATACATATGATCTAAATTACACCATGCTTTTCACGATTCATTTCATTAAAGTTCGACAATAGAATTTGAATTACTGACGTGATAAGAATGAGATTACGCTTAATACAATGATTAATGGATTTCTTAGATAAACAGAATCTATGTTGTCCTTATCCATATGTCAAACTTATATATTTATTGCAATGGATCAATAAATAAACAATATAAGAAAAATAAATTCAAAATTGTTACTACTACATTTGTCATATAAATAAATTAGTTAAAATATTTTGTTGATTGTTTATTCTCACACAAGTAATCAAAGTTGTATGGTTGGTTGTCTATCAATAAGATTTGCTTGATTTAATCGAGCATTATTTTCAGCTGACTTAAAGATATTTTTGGTGGATAGTAATGTTTGACCTAAACGTATTATTATATATATCAATAAAATGAAGAAGAATATGAAAATTATTCACTAAATCTGTTTGTTTATTCTAATCAGTCGAGTCAGCCTCATTAAATCCATTTTCAGAACTAACAACTTGATCCAGGCAGACAATACATAATATAGAAAGCTCATAATGAGCAAATCATGAATTTTCTTGATAATAATTTTATGGGAAGCTTAGTAAAACGCATACATTCTTCGCCGCTATTATCACTGAAACATGCATCATCTTGAGATTCAACTGAATTTATCGAGTTTCTATCATCTTTTAAATAAAAAAGAAAACCAGTTTAATTCAATCATATCAACATATATTTTTCAACTTACATCTTGGATCATCAACAACGGCTTGTACTGTACCATATTCATTAGCCGTAATCTGAACATTCACTTCTAAAAATTTATATCAAAATCTATTTACAATAAAATAGTCAAAATAACTCATTCACCGTTCTCTGTGATCAAACCAATGATATTATCATCATTATTGTTGTATCTTGTTGCATATTCATTGTTTATGATGAATGTTGTACGTTGAATATTATTCTAAGCGATAAGTATTACCATTACCAAATCATGTGACTGTGTATCTTGAAAACCTAATGGTATATCATCTAGAACTACACAAATAATATAGAAATCAATGAATAAAAGTTTCAAAGTCACTTACTCATAACAGTTAGAGAGAATGTCAAAGCCTCGTCTACCGGATCTATAAACAGAATTGAAAACATTATATTACTGACTTTCTATATCAAAAAGAACTACTTACGAGTAGTACGCCCATCTACTTGTGCACCTCGATTCAAGGTAGAACTACCTGAAATAAAGAATATACATTGTATCAATAGATATATCAAAAACATCTTACAATCCAATGATGAATTTAGATGCCATGGTAGAAATTGACCCAATGTTATGCCAGGACCGCTGCTGTAACTCAGTAATTGATAAACAATAATAATAACTAATGCCAGTATGATTATATGGCAATCATAACCAATAGCAAGATAAAACATGATGAATATCAACCAATATCGTGATGATATTGTTGCCTCAAAACGATCAGATCGATCTGTAGTATGTCTATTGGTTTATTCATCTATATCAGCCAATAATAAAATAAATATATATTTTTAGAATAGCCTATATTTGTCATATGCCGTGAATCATTAGTTCTTTCATTTCTAACACATTGGAAACGAATTTTGTAAATAAAAAAAATACCTTGTAAAGTTTTTTCAAAAAAATATACTTATGGTTTACGAGTTGTGGTTGTGGAATATTTCTTCTCATCAGATTTTTTCCGTTTTTTATAGATTCAGAAAAAAATAAAGAATAGAACTAAACTCTGACAAAACTCAATATTTAAAATCTGATATTTTTATCACATTTCATATGAATTTGCCGCGATTACCATCAGATGATGATCCATCAACATTATCTCTACGATTACTATTATCATGAGGTATATTATTTCTAGTTGTCATTTTACGTCAGAATTATCAAACGTTCTTGATAGAATGATATGTCAAGAGATTATTTGATCTTGTCCATCTTCAGTTGACCAAGAAGAATCTTTTGATGGAGACAAAACGATAAGCTATCTATAATAAAATTAGAGAAAATTCTCTCTCTTTTCAACAAATATAAGAAAGTTTCCAAACTATTGCCTTATATGTTTATCAGATTTTTTTGAGAGTATTGTCTTTACCATTGCTGTCTACTAAAATGAACGCTTTTTAACTTTATCACCTTGTTTTCTCTACAATTTTGAATTTTATTTATACTCTTTTTTTTCTTTCTTCCTGATGCTAAAACTAGGAAAGATTTTTTCTTGTGTTGACAGAAAATAAGAATAGCATGACAATTTCTATTTTTCTCTTTTGTTTTACTTTTTTCTCACACAATGAAATAAACAGATAGGTCAAATACTTGACTACTCTCTAGTGACAACCCAAACTTTTCAAATCGTCTAGACATCAACGCTCAAATATTTTTCGTTGCAGCTTAGTACACAACGAGAATAAGTTTTATATATAAATATTCATCTCTTTTCGGTCATAGTAAAAGCAATTGTCTGATTACAAAAAAAAGAGTCTTCTTATAATTAAAATAAAACAATAGATAAAATTAATATTACAAAGTATATATACATAACCGAAAATCTTGTTTGATCTTATAGACCGTTTTATTCGAATTGAGAGAGTAACAGAAAGAATATTTTGTTAAGCAAAAAGTCCATCAGATTCAGCAATGAAAACTTCTCAAATAAGACTAAATTTGTCAACTCTGACATTAGTTTTGAGTACTTCTTTATTCTGATTATTTTATTCATTCTGTGTTACAGATAAAAAATACTCTTAAACACATGTTATATGAGTCAAAGAACAGAATGTAGTCATAATACGTTTTGTTCTCAAATGAATGAGATATTTATCTTGAAATCTTAGTGATCAAAATCGTTTTAAAAGATAATAAATAAACCTTGATCAATACAAACGATTTATAAATATTGATTTTTTTTAATGGCTTATAGAAAACCATTATGGCGAGTTTTCTAAGTGAATTTTGACTGTAAATCTTATTCATAAAAATGAAACTTAATGAAGATATTATCAATGAGAAATTTATCGACTCAAATTGTTTGAACAACGAGATTTTAACTTGAATGTGTCAAAACCCAGAATAAGATAAGATATAAAAAAAAACAAAATAGAAATCAAATCATAATTATTTACAGTCAAAAGAAACAAATTATTGATTCGAACAAAATAAACATGTGACTGTGTACGCTCGATTGCGATAGTGTGGCTTTGATATTTCTTTATCTCTCGCTCGTTTTCTTTTTTGTCGTATGCGGCTGGTACTTTTTTTCATTCTGTTATTATTTGCACTTTTATGTTATTGTTGTCTAGCAACTATGCAATCGATCTCTTGTTTAAGAAAACTAACATAATGGTTGTTTTAAGTATCATAGTAAATATAGAAATCGATTATTCAATCTGATCTTATTTGCTTGTATTCTCAACCTTATAATAAGTTTTTTTCATTACATGTACAGCTCTAGAAGAGAGAAAGAGAGAAAAATTTAAAAAAAAAGTGTTTAATGGAATAAACTATCTAATTAATTGTCATATTATGATGTAATCTGCTTTTCTACGAAATAAATACATCTGCTGTTCCTTTTTCTTACGTTACAATTTTTGAGTTGCCTTCAAAACAAGTATAGTTAATACATTATATAATCGACATAGCTTTGCATAAAAGTGAGAGAGTATTTTTTTTTCTTTTAGCAAAACGATTAGCATAAAAAGCTTTACAAAACCTGATATGAAGGAAAACTTTATGTTTTTTTTTCTTGAATTCCCATGGAATTACCCATGTATTTTCGATATGTTGTCCATCTTTTTTTTTCCATTTTTGAGGTCATATTTAGAAAGAGCACAAAAAACTGCATCGAATCATATGTATAACTCATGCGATGGAGATTTAATAATAATATAAAATATCCCTTTAGCAAAAAATTGAGAATTTTTTTTGTGTTTTTTCGAGTTCGAGCTAAAAAAAGAGCGAATTTTTCTTACCAAAGTTCTTATTTGGCGTGATTCAAGTAGAGCAACTAATTTTGTTCATCAAAGCAAACTTTATTCTATTTAAAAGAACAATAGAAGATTGTTATGATCTGTTAAAGAATAGAACACTGATAATAATGTTATTCTCAGTAATCTATACATTAATTTTCGATAATCATCGTTTTTTAAAAAAATAATTTTTCTTACCATTCAATAGCTTCAGCTTCAACATCAGATTTAAATAATAGATCATCAATATTAAAATGTTGTTTAATATATTCACATGTAAGTACTAATTGCATTTTTGCTTCTTGTAATGTTGAACCATAACCAACTACATTAAAAATTCTTTCACTATTTGTTGTTATAGTATTTGTTTCACTTATACCATAATTATTAACATTAACATCTGTTTGATAATGAAATATTTCAAGAATTTTTTGCTGATGTTATTATTGTATTAATACAATGAACACGGCGTTTTTTTTACATGTTAATGGTAAAATAGGTACAGGTACTAAATCAAGTGCATATTGAAGAAATATATCTGGTTCACATAATGATAATAGTATTTCAGCTTTGGATTCTTCAAATGTTGATAAATAAACAAGTACATAAACTTGATTATAATTTGTTTCTTGTATAACTAAGCGAAAATCAAATAAATGATGAATTGTTGGTGAACATCGAAGTGTACGTTCAACAATACGACGACGTATATAAAATAATTGTTTTGATGTTAAATATGGACATGGATCAAATGCACCCATACGTAGTGGATCTGATTGTATTAGTTATAATTGTGTGTAATCACCGTCACTTACTATATATAGAAGACATATTTGATTATCTTTAATTGAATAATCATGTTCAATAATAATTGATTAATTTAATTTACCAAATATATAAACCTAATATATAAAATAATATATATATATGGATTACTTATTGAGTTTGAAGACATATTCAAAATATAGAAAAATCTCGAATGTTAGATTAAAAGTTAGGCCTAATGTTTATGTTTCAAACGGTGAATAAATGTTAAGAATATATAAGAGTTTTCTTCAAATATGATTTCCATGCTAATTTATTATTTTAGGTTCTTTATCTCTCAAAATCGACACCATGACGTTTTTGTGACATATTTAATAAACAAAAAAGCTCATTTAACACCTTAAAATCCTTTGTGCAAACCTTCATTCTGTATATTTTATTTTTATTTTGTTTGAAAAGCTCGACAGTCCGATATGCTCTTCCAAACAAAATAGATATAAAATATACAGAATGAAAGCCTGAGCAGAGAATTGCGGATTGATAGAAGTAACTATTTTTCACTCTTGTTTGACGAATATCTCATGAAAATATCACAATATAGAGCTCAGAATTTCATCATAACCTCTCCTCTACAGACTCAATATACCCTGAACTTTGCATACTTATATCTGAATCCCTGCTGTAAGTAAAGTCAATTGATACGTGAATTGCACATTCTATGCTTTGAGCATACGTTTTTTTTTCTTTTTTTTTCTAATCATAAAGTATCGTTTCAAATGTTGCATAGAGAAAGAGGAAATAACAAATGACGCCGTTTATTTTGTAATTATAAAATTCTACAGATTTAAGTTTCAAATAGTAAATGCATTAGTTTTTTTCAGAAAATTATAAAATCTTTTCATTTTATTATACTTCTCTGCAAAACTACTTTTTAATGATCTATAAAAATTTTTTCAATAAATATAAAATCAACATAAATTATCTTATTTCAGTCATAATATTAGAATTTCTTTATCCGTATTTATCAAAATAGACCTATCATTCGTAGACCTAAACTACCTGTCGCAACGTCTATATTTTGTTTTTTGTTTGTCATATTACAACAATAACCATACTCGATTAGAAAGTACGAACAATAATTAACGAGGGAAGTCTTTCAACTGATAAATCGCTTTTGAGTCAAGACTATGCGTATTATGTAGACCCAAATGAACTATGAATATCTTGAAAAGAATTTGTACCTTTAGCTTATTGCTGCGAATATAATGCACTTTTATGCTATTTTTTAAATGGATGCTGTGGTAATAGAACACAATGATTTTCGAATTTTCACTTGAAACTTTAAAAACCAGTTATTCTCATGCATCACAGTATTCATTTTAAAAATTCCATAAAAGTACAGCATCTCCATAGTAATGACTCAAGAGCACAAACTCTTTTCAGAGTATCCATAGTTCACTTGGATCTATGTTGTGCGCATAGTCCATAGCCCATTGGGTTGGTCTCAATTCTGACGGGCTCTAATCGTTTGAGATATACGTAGGGTGCGTTTCTCATCGAATACAAAAAACCGTAAAAAAAGTATCTGGTATCTGCGAGGCCAGTGTTCAATTCCGATTATAAAATTTCATTGAGATTATCAAAGTACAGATCGACCGGACCCGACGAGCTTTAACATAGTTCCAACTCAAAAGCGATCTATCAGGTGTGAAGTACTTTTCTCTTAAATAAACCAGATAAACAAAATATATGTCCTAGATTATCTTTTCAATCACCAGTATTCTTCTCCAAAGGCAAATTATGAATTCTATCTATGAAAAACGAAATTGCAACATTCTCGAATATTTTGTGTTATATGATAAGAAAACTTTCATTTTTTTTCTTTTACCTCAAAAACAGTTTTAATAGTTTGCATTGTTTCTTCTCGAGTTTTACTATTAATTAAACCATTGATATTCGTTGCACGAACAATCCATTGTTCTTGATTAGAATATCTAATTTCAATAAACAAAAAAAAATTATTATGGTTTGCTTGTTTTCTTTAATCTTACTTAATTATTGTTTTGCATTTAATTGATTGACACGTAATGCTCATATATCAATAGAACATCCTAAATAATATAAACCACATTCACATAAACATGCTTCAAGTTCTTCAATATAATATGTTTTATTTAATGATATAGCAAGATCAATTTGTTTTGTATCAACATAATCTAATATATCTTTTTATGCTTGAAATATTGTCGATATTGTTATATTTGATTGATCAATTGTTGTACCACTATTACCCAGTGATATTAAAATAATAAAATTTCATCGTTGTACTAATTTCCATACAGGTGCATGTTCACATGATGTTGAACCAAGTAAAAGTATAGTTGCTGGCATTGGTTGCACTAATAATGTACATGTTGAATATGGATCATTATCATCTGAACGTGCAAGTACACGTAAATCTGATGGTGCTGTATTAACATCATTATTTAATAATTTGGTAAATAAAACACGATCAAATAATTTTTGTTGATAATGATACAAATAAATTATCACCAAGTTCTTTTAAATGTAATAAATGTTTCGTTGGTACTTCAATAATTGCTTGTGTTATAATATCAGCAACACTATTCAATTGTTCTTTAATTATTTCAGATGACAATTCAGTTTCATTATCAATAATTAAACCTGATTGTGTTTGAGCGACATTTGTCGACGACTGGTTCTCACGTTGACGATAGACGTCTGAAGATAATATCCGCGACCGCTTGTTGCTGCCATCCAGATTGTTCGTCTGCGACATTTGATAAAACTTTATAAATATATCGTTCAATATCAACTAGAAAAGATAGTGAAAATATATAACATTTATAAAAAATATCAATGTTCATAAATTAAAAACATTCATAACATATCATAGAACTCAATTTAAACGAACCAATATCAAGTATATAATAAAGTTTAGTTGAACTTAATAAGCAAACGGCAAGATGCATGTTTTGTTTATTTACCTTTTCATGTCTGAAATATTAAATGCCAACAGGAAAGAAAGAAAAACCTCAAAAATGACGAGATGTCGCCTATTTGCCTCGTCAATTAATTTAAAGCATGGTACTAGTTTTATCGTCGTTGTAATTGAACAACAATCATCCAATGTAAATTTTTTCAAATAACAAGCAGAAAAACACGATTTTACTATCGTTTTTCCATATCTGATGAAAGAAATTCTTCTTATGTTGTCAGTGAAAATATGTTTTATTTTGAAAATTCAGTTTTTTTCGAAACCCACTAACCAGAGAAATACCCCCATTGATTAACTGTTTCTTGACTCGGAACTACGTGCATCATGTAGATTCTAATGAGTTATGAATATTTTGAAAAGAGTTCAGGCTCTTCACTTATTTTCGAATTTTAATTTCAAACTTTGCACAAAAAGAGGCCTTAATGAAAATAGCTTATGATGAGACTTTCATACATTTTCGTTGTTCCTATCCTAAGATATGACTATAATAAAAGCGTGTCTTTTACATCACTCGTATATACCGGCAGATTTGAATCTTCTAATTTCACGATAAAAGCAAGCCAAAAGACCTGAAACTTTCATAATAAACTACTCTCATTAAAGCTTATCACAACGCAAACATTCAAGCCGAACTTCGAAAATCAGTTTTCATGATGTACCACGATATTCATTGAAAAATTACCTTAAAAGTATAGTATCTACGCAGCAATAAGCTATGGAGTCTACATTATGTACGTAGTCCCAACTCAAAAAATAATTAACCAGTTGTGAGACTTCTCTCGTTATAAATATACGAAATAAGCTTTATTCTTCATCACCATAATCATTAGAAAAATATTTCTTCGAATTCGAACTGAAAATTGTAGTTATTTTTTCTATGATTTTTAGCGAATTATGTTATAAATCACAGCAAGCAAAGATAAATTCAGGATACATGACCAGGCAATAAAGTTATATTCGTCGGCTAAATTAATCAAATCACGAACATTAAAAACTGGCTTTTCTTACATGTAACGCGAAGAAACCTATGACAAGGTATTCATAGAAAAATAAAAAATAAAAAGAAGGAATTTTCATCCGAATTTTTGTACAGAAATAGATCTCTTAATCTTGAGTATATCCTGTAAGTTTCAGTCAAAACTGATGATTCTTGTTCGGAATACAGAATATTCAAAAAAAACAATCATATGCCACAAGAAAGGCAGAATGCCAACTTTTCTTCCGTATTCAACATGTCGAGAAGGAATTATCTGCTTTGGCTGAAACATTCCGATAAGCCGAAAATCCGATAAAACGGTTATAACTCTAATAGAAAGATGTAAAGAGAGAAATCTTGGCAGACTTTTCTAGTCTTACTTATGAGGAAAATATCACTTCGATCGGCAATTAATATTTGGATATGTTCCCTCTGAAAGTACGGATCGAGATTAAAAAAAAAACTTCGCTCCACATATCTCTAACCCTCCTTGCCTACTAACTTATCTAACCAGTGTTTCATCTAATATGGAAACTGAGAAAGCGGCAATCGTTCGAAAGAGAAAATCTGGATAAAATACCGAAACTAACAAACATATTCTATCGATTCTTCATAAGAAAAATCTCTTTTCAAACGCATCAAATTTATTTCCTAAAGGCAGAAAAAGGAAAAAAAATAATTCATTGGAATCGAATACTCGATCGTACATGATTTATACAATGTGCATAAACAGATATCAGACGAGAGAAAAAACACTCTTTTTACATCATCTTGATACAAGACATTTCAAAAACAAAAAAATAAATATTCTCAATTTCAATCTCTAAATAGTTCAATTACAAAATAAAATGCAGCATGCTCATATAGGAGAAATAATTGTTTAATAACAACTTGACAACAATTCATTATAAAATTACTTAAGACTAATTTTCCACGTGGTGATCGTAATTGATAATCCATTCGTTTACAGTCGGGAACTGTTTTCTCATTCCATTACTGTTGAAAAATTAGGACGGGTAGTTAAGCATTTGTATTAGAAAAAAGACTAATATCACATAAATAATGAAGAAGAAAAATGTAAGATCAGGGTATAGGTGGGTGTGTGAGTGTTGGTGCCTAGGGTGTGGGTGTAGGTTTAATTGTGGGTCTCACTTTCATACACCACCCATACCCACACCCACACTCTTTCTGGGCATTGTGAGTAGTTCCGTCTTGAATCAGTTCCCGGTATTCCTGAAATTAGCAGAACTCGATCTATGTCGAGTATGTCTCTTATGCTGAATGATGATCGAATTCCCGGAATTGGATGGAACTGATTCCGCAATGTTCAACATTGCGGAATAGGATGACTGCTCTGATTGTCATATAGAATAGGAAGATTACCAGAATCAATAGACGAGTATCGATTTCACAAAACAAAAGGTGAAATTGTAGTGCTTGTCATTTATAAATAATATACTTCAGTCAACACTTTAATCAGTACAATTTGTTTCAAATGAAGAACAATTTTAATATATGCGAATTGCAATTATCAAGAACGATAAATCATTTAATTTTTTTTTGAAGATTTGTGAAGGAATCACAGCGGCATATGCTCAAAAATCAGGAATAAGTGGATGAAGCAATTACGATTTGTTAAAATTGAAAAGTGCATTGCTGCGATTAGAGATACGCACCACCCGTGTCATGATGTTAAATATGGTTGATTTATTGACAGCCACACCTCAATCACACCAACTGTTTAACTCTGTTACTATAAATGTTCTAAAAATGCGTGTGTATCAAATGTTGCAAATATAAGAGAAGAGAAGAGAAGAGATTTAATTGTTGCGAGACTGAATCTTTATGAGATACGGTTGAATTTATCAATAACTTAGCACTTGATGAATTTAATTGGAATGAGTATAATATTAATATTCATCAAGAACTTGAACTTGCACACATTTAACTACAATATAAGTTAAAATAAAAATGAACACTCTATAATTAAATATAATGCCAGGCGCATAAACAATGAACAAGCTTTGTTCTGTCTTTTTGAGAATATCAGAAATTTGAGCAAAATCTTTTTTTTTTGAACAAAAAAGAGCAAGAGAGTTTTATTAGTAGATAATAAAATGAATTGAGAACTTTATTTATTTTGAAGTTTATCCATATGAAAATGCATTTATCAGAAAATACGATTTTCATTGACATCCATTTTTTAACGTATTCTGGACTAATCTATAAAATGATTAGCGTTTTGTTTTCTGTTCAATGCAGGTTTCAATAGAGTTCTTCCGACAAAATGTTTCCGTCTAAAATTATATTCAACACGTGCTGTATAACTTCTTTCTTAACTAAAAATCGTTTCGTCAATCCATGAAGTGATTTCTTTTTCCTTCCTTATCAGTCATTATTTAACCATTCCTACGAAATTTTTGCTATGAATTCAACTTTTTCGACCTAGAAATTCACTTTGAACAACATAGTCAGTCTTGTAGAATATTTTCACTCACAGATAAAGGTTTAATCCTGATACATCAATCAATAAAAACATTCAAATTTCATTATTAGAATCAGTTTTGTTGTACACAGGGACAGTATTGATTTTTGTACCTCTTTATATTCAATTTATTTACATATGAAAACAATATCTTTTGATCTACGGACTTTATATTTGTGCAAAGCAAAAAATTCTATCTTTTTTCTGTGAGAATAATTTTACTAAAAACCTTTTAATTAACTCAAAAGAAAGAAAACAAAAATGGTATATTCATTATGTGCTATGTGTTACATGTCTGCTACATCTTGTCTAATTAAATGTTCATTCATACTCTTTTCATCTTCAGATTGTTGTTTCTACGTAAGTGTTCGAAAATGGAGCATTATCTTCAAGAAATATTATAGCGCAACAAATATGAAAAAACTTAGAGAAAAAATTCTTTACTTGTCATTAGACGCGACCACGGCACTGGTCGAAAAGACTTTAGGATGGTGGCTGACTTCACCTCGTTTTTAGGCACGATGCATATCTGTGTTTGATAATGCTATCCTAACTACGTTGAAAACTTCATTATTTGAAAATAGTGAAAACTTAAACCGATTACGAAAAAAACAGAAAAAAAAAGAGTGCCGGAAATAAATATTATTTGAACATTATCCTTCTCTTTTTTTTTCGGTTAAGATATTCTATAAATATTTTTATATAAATTTCGAAAAATAAACTGACTATAATAAATGAATGCATTATAATCATTTAGATATAGTCCTATAGGAATAAATCATGAAAAATCAGGCATTTCAATCAAAATCAGGACACTTAAAAAAACTCAAGAAAGTAATACCACTGCAAGGCTTGGTTTTGTGTCATGTTTTGGCCTTTGTTCCCCAAACGTCATCATCAGACATGGAATTAAAAGAACGACTTGCAATGGAATTTTTTTGCTCTTTATTATTTTTATCATTTATTATGATTATTTTCCTTTAATCCTTTCAATTCCGACATTCTCTTATGTTCTGGCACGACAATTAGCTGCGTTTGAAATCTAACATCATTATTGATAGCCGTAAGTAGAAGTGTAAGCCGAGTGGCTGAGCTGCCCTCGCCGCCGTCGAAAGCTAAAAAAGCTAAAGATTTTCAGTCGTCACCGCCGTGACAGCAAAGCAGATAGTCAATTTTCGAAAACTTTCGATACTTAGGATCACTTTTTGAGCATGTTCTTCTTATAAAAAAGAATCTGCTTTTAACTGGCATTCTATGATTTAAAATTAATTAAAACCAAATGAAATCTATCTTTGAAGCTGAAAATCAATTTTTGAATCAGCTCAATCAAGAAATGAGCGATTTTAATCTAGTTTTTCGTCATTTTTTCTGTATGAATAAATAATTTTTGGTATAGTAACCCGCAGTATGGCATGTACGTCAAAGGATGGTTTAGCGTTGTGTTTACCGTTTGTCGAGCCAAGAAGTCTGAGAAACTTAAAAAATTTGAGTTTCTAAATAAAAACTTGAGAAAAGCTCATTTTACAGCTAGTGGGATCAAAATCAATGAGATAAAGAATAATCTGATTTAAATTAGACTAATATCAAAGTTTTTTTTCGTTATTTTACATGGCTGGTTTAGTTTCTTGTCAGCCAGTTCTCTACTAGCATTTTCTCTCTTTTTCATTTCAAAATCTCTAAAACCAAGAAAATTTTTAAAAATGTCGTACAGCGTCGAGCCGCAGCCTCCTTGGGAAAAAGAAAAATTTCATTTTTTCAGCCACCATCGCCGAAGAGTCGATTCAGCCGCCGCCGAATATTCAGAAAAATTCAAATTATTCTGCCACCAACGCCCATCAACTCATCGACTTACATCTCTAGTCATAAGAAATGATCTTTCTCGAAACACATCATATGATATCCGTTGTCTAAGACTACAGATCGCTAAATATTTCTTTTGCGTTCTGCATGTAATCTCGTAGACGACATGCGAGATTGAAAGGTTTATTGTCAAAAAGTGTTACTGTTCATTTTTGACCTAAGTTAATAGCATAATCATATACGATAATGAATATGCCATATGATTTCATATTAAAAAAAAACCATCATAATAAATAATAAAAATAAAATTAATAAAGAGCAACAAATTTTCATTGCAGGTTGTTCTTTTAATTCCATGTTTGATGGCGACGTTTGTGGAGCAAACGCCGAAATATGACACAAATCTTCAAAATAAATCAAATGATTCATCATTCTCAATAACTGAAATTTGTACATATAATAATACGTTATCCATATACGTATATGGCAAGATCATGCTCTTTAAATTAAAAAATAATTATAATGTATTGAAAATAAAAAGTCTTTTTTTTCGGTTCAGTCAGACGGCATTCAACAAAATGTGTCGGATTCAACTGGTCATTGATGCGGTTAAGAACAAATAGTGAAAAATTTGTATGCCTATAATTCAAGTTCATAATGTTTAGACATTTACTATTTGACGATAAAACAGTACGCACAATATATTTATTGTTTTGAAAGGATGACCACAGTTACAAGACAATTACGACGATGAGGATACATAAAAATGATAGTCAATGTTTAAACCTTCTATTAATTTTCGACTCTAGGAGTATGCTGTATTCGTCGGCTCAACTGTAATCCAGCAGTAGTTTCTGCACAAGTGTTTAATGGTCGCGTGGTAATGATTCGTTGGTCATTTGGAGAAACTGTCCCAAGCAAGCGTCTTGTCCATAGAACACGTCGAGTTATGAATAATCGAAGCTCATGTCGAAACGTTTTCGATACAATGATATTGGTGTAGAGAGCTGATGATGCCGTAATATATAAAAGAAATTGACCTCCGAAATAGTTGCAAAAATTCTGTATATCAAGCTGTTGTGGAGTCTTCGTCCAAGTGAGTGTTATTGAACCGTACAAACTGTTGAGAGGTACTGGTATATTTGATATGCAATAAATCGTCACCTCTACTAGAAGCATTTTAAACAATTGATGGTCGTACAATTTCATATGAGCAGGCATATGTTTACCGGCGGTTCTATGAGCAAGTCTACCCTTATCTCTGGTGGCAGCAGCAGTTTTTAGGGCACGCTCGTGTGTTTGTCGAAGATTTTTAATAGTAAAAACGCTAAATATAATCATAGTAAATGGAGGAAAAATTGATGAGAGAAATGCAGAATAGCCAGTATAAAAGTATTGATATGCTATAGGCGAGGTACATTTGCCATTTACAATTGTTTTGAGAACGAGAATATGAATTGGTATAATCAGCCACATGATGATGATGGTAGCAATCACATAACGGGCAATACGTGGTTGACTGAAGTTTCGTATGCGTACATTGGGTGAACACATGGCAAAGCGATCGACACAGGCAAGTGAAATAATGAATCGAGCCATGCACAAAAACGATGACAGCAAATATTGTTGTAACTTGCAGAAGAATAAACTATATGTTTGCGGATCCTTGTAGAAG